ACCGGACTCTAACCGACTAAAACCTTCACGATGAGTGTCACGGCTGCGATCGAGAGGGGTCCGGGAACCGGGGTAAACCGGGGAACCGGGCCCCACCCCGCGCACAATACATCCCCTAATGGAGCGATGTGCGGCCACGTCACATCGCGCGACGTCGCCGGACTGCTTTGCGGGCCCGAGGTGCTGAGCTGCCAGTGCCTAAGTTTGAATCTCACAGGGCGCGGCGGACCTAGCGCGTCACACCGAAGCGCATCCACGGCCTCTGCCGCGCCCTCGCCGGTCAATCCTTTCGGGGTGAGGGTACCGCACCCTCACCTTCTCCGAGGCCGTTTTCCGAAGCATAACCTTCTCACAGAAGGAGGTCACGGCCCTCCTTCTTCTCTCGCTTGCCAACAATGCCTCGAGGATCGTCGCCGGCGGAAGGTCCCATCTGATTTCCACGATGAGGTCGTGGAGCGGCCGCGCCCACGCCGGGCAATATTCCAGCGTGTACGACGTCGAATCCACGCTTGCATCGCAGTGGTGGCAACGCGCGCTCGCCTCTTTCCTGATTCGGTGCTGATACTCACCGAAGCAACCGTGTCCGGTGAACACCTCCGTCACCCTGTAGGTCAGGGGAGGCCCGCTGTCGTTACCTCCGTCACCCTGTAGGTCAGGGGAGGCCCGCCGTCGTCCAACCAAACGTCCCAGTTTGGAAGGACGGCCTCTCGTGTCGAGGCTGGCGCGCCATCTGTCGAGCAAAGCCCACCGAGCCCGAACCCTAACGTCGGCGCCCACCGGGTCGATCCCGCCCGATAGACCCCGAGTGTAGAGATAAACCTCAGGGCCTGCAATTCGAACGGGGAAAACCCGGAGAGCACCGACGCTGCTGCCACCGAAATGATGCGGAAACCCCTCACTACCCTGATGGCAATCGTCCTGTCAGCCTCCTGACCGCTAAGAGACTGCGACGGTTGGTCATTAGGTCCTCCGCCTAGATTGGAGCTCCGTAGAGGAGCCTCGATCATACCGATCACTCCGATGTCGGGCCCGCACAACCGAGGCAGTAAACGTTCTAAGACGTTCGCCATCGCCTCGACAGACGGTGCCAGGCGCTTGAAGTGAGCGCCGGAGGTCTAGTGGCTGTCGAGGGTCAAGCCCAGATACTTCGTGCTGGTTCGGACCTCGATCTCAGCCCTCTCCAACCTCAGGCGATAACGCGCTGGAGGCGTCCCGTGATCGGCCCTGCGGCAAAACCACATTGTTTCGGTCTTCTCGGGAGACCCCCTCAGTCCCAATCCCTTGATCTTGGCGACCACGCAGGCCACCGCCAGCTCCGCTAGGCGAACGGTTCTACCCCATGAAGTGCCCTAGATCAGCACCAACGTGTCGTCAGTGTAGCACGCCAGTGCCGAGTTCGCAGGCATCGACGTCCGAAGCACCGCGGCGTACGCGATGTTCCACACCAACGGACCCAACACCGAACCCTGCGGGACCCCGCTGTGTACGGCTCTCCAAGTCATCCCTCCGCCCCGGGCGGTGTAGACGATACGCCGGTCCCGGTGGAACGCCCGGACCACACCCCGCAGGTACGCGGGTACCCGATGAAATTCGAGGGCCCGGCATATCCTGTCCTAGGGGATGCTGTTGAAAGCATTGACCACGATCAGCGACACGGTCAACGCCACTTAACCACACCGCTTGGCCTCCTCGACAAGGGAGCGGACACAGGTGACAGCGTCGGTTGTAGACCGCCCTCTCTCGAAGCCGAACTGGCCGTCGTGCAGTCCGGGAACACTCCGGGACAAATGCGACTCCAGGCGGGAAGCCACCACTCTCTACAGCAGTTTGCCAGCGTCGTCCAAACGGCACACCGGCCGGATGGCGGAAGGCGAGTCCGGAGAGCGCCCCAGTTTCGGCAGCCGGACCATCCGCCCCTCCTTCCACAAAGCCGGCAAT